TTACAAGGTGTGAATTTTGTACTATACGATCAGCTTTTGGCACTAGTCTAGTATGTGTATACTGAGGGCCAAATTTATAGTGATTCTGTGTGATCTGTCCACAACCCCAAAATTTAGGGTTTTCGTTGTTTATCATTTCTTTGTGTTTTTTGCTTAGGTCATATTATGTTGCATGCTGAAAGGTGAAACTCTGATACCACAAGGTATGAATCTAGGAAAATAATTATTTTTTCTTTTGTTACAGAAAACTATGCTGAGTTTTGGTGTTCTCAACTAAAAAATTCAGAATCTCTTTTTGCCAGATGTCACACAGTCATCGATCCCGCGGAATATTACAAGGTGTGAATTTTGTACTATACAGTCAGCTTTTGGCGCTAGTCTAATATGTGTTTTACCATATACATATTTTCAAGGGATTATTGTAACTTGGTCATAAAAATGGTTCATATTTTGTTATGACTACCTGTTCAATTGGTTCATATGCCTTGATCTCCTACAATAGGCCTTCTCTTAGAATGCTGATTTAGAGGAGAGAATCATTGTGCTTTTCTGAGAGGGTGGGGCTAGTGAGTAGTGAAAGAACACTATAGATTCTCATTTTCATATGAGAATTCAAAAGATAATGGGATATTGAGTCATGATGGTCAAATGTGAGCCAGCTCTTAAACATTCTTGCTTAAATTGAATTTCTTGATCAGGAGGTAAACAATAACCCATTTATGTCTTATTATTCCTGGTCAGTTTACCAGAGTTCAGTGCTGGGTAAAGACATGCTAAGGCCCTAAACTATGCCAACTGTAATAGGCCCCACACTATTACAAAAAAAATATTTTTTGTATTTATAGTTCCTTCATAATCTGAGCTCCTAAAATGTACCTTATTTAGCTTGTGTGCAAATCTGGCACTGCCTGTGTTTTCAGTTCTGTTGAGGAGGGATAAAAAAGCAATCTGGAGAGAAAAGCAAGTGCCCCCTAATCTTTGCTCATTTCCATAATTCAGAGTGAACTGAACCTTTGTGGAGATCCTAACCCATGCAGACTGTTATTTTTAATTTCTTTTGTTTTTAATTATTAATTTCCTTTTGTTATTTTTAATTTCTGTGGGCTTATACCATTCTGTGTTGTGACAGATGAGGAATTATACATTTCAAAGTCCCCAAAAAGCCTGCTGTTAGGAAAAGAGGGCTAAACTTTAGTGATTTAAAGGTTGGGCTATTCAGATAAAGTTTGGTGAACTATCTATGTTTTCATGCTTAATCAAATGGCTTCTGAGCTTTTTTGGGGTTTGTCCATCACTAATGGACAGCTCTCTGCTCAGCTAATATGCTCTCTGTTCATCTGCATGAGTAACAGCCACATGGGAAAGAAGGTACAAGGTGTTTTACAGCTACTGTGATAAGGCCCCAGCTTTTAGAATTTTCCTTTTATAGTCATCATCATCCTTCAGGCTTATTAACCATTTGCTTCTCGTTTGTCTCAGAGGTGTAAATACGACGCCTGCAGCTGCTCGAACAGTGAGGAATGCTTGTGTGCGGCCCTCTCCTCTTACGTAAGGGCCTGTGCCTTCAAAGGGATCATGCTGGGAGGTTGGAGACAAAATGTCTGCAGTAAGTAATGACGCTGTCATCCCCTTGAAATCAGTCAAAGGAAAGGACAGAGTGCACCTCAGTACAGTTCCATTAACCTCGGTGTTAAGAGAAAGGGACATGGAGTTGCACAATACAATTTAAGGAGACACTGTCAAGGATTTTGAATAGTGAATCCTGTGTTCTTTAACTGCCCGTTGTTTATAGGACAACTTCACAAACTGCAACATAATTATGCTCCCTTTTCTCATCTCTACTATTTTACCAATGCTGATATATCTTCTCTTTCCCCAAAGTAATCAAAACCATCATGGCTCATCCATTGTATTTATTTTTATGGCCGTGTACCAGCATTAGGTATGGGATCATCACCAGCAGTGAAGTAACACTAGAAATGGGGCTTTGTCAAATTGTTAAATTGTGCTTCTGCTGGAGGACTATAGGGCTAAGAAGCAACAGAGAAAAAAATGTAGTAATAATAGTGTCTATTATTAGAAAGCGAATTCCAACAGTGAAAGATTCAGTTAACTAAAGGGGAAAGAAAAAAAAGAAACAATACTAGATATTTATTTTGAGGGTCTTACCATTCCTTCCTCTATATACTCTTCTGTATAATAATAGAAATGATGCATGTTCTTTAAAGGGAAATTATACCTATACGAATGGGAATAATATTACCTCATAGATGGCAGTTTAAAAGGTAGTACAAAGTTAAGCCAACACTGTTTATTAATTATAATAGTTTATGTTAGAATACAATGAGAGGGAATCCCTTCATTTTTACTATTACGTACTATCTGGACAGAGTGATCAGAAAGCTTTACATTCTATAATGCCTGGTCAGGTGGTTTTTATGTGCCAGTATAGCGACCATTGTTTCCTCCTCTCCAGACAAAGAAGTGTCCTCTTGCCCATACTCCCAAGTCTTCCTTTACAATTTGACGACATGTCAACATACCTGTCGCTCCCTTGCTGATGGCCAAAATCAGTGCGTGAAGGGCTTCATTCCAGTGGATGGCTGTGGCTGCCCTGGTAACACCTATATGGATGAGAAGGGTAAATGTGTGCATATCTCCCAGTGTTCATGCTACCACAGAGGAACATACCTGGAACCTGGAGATGTTATCTTTAAACAAGAAGAACGCTGGTAGGTTATTTTATGTTGTTTGCAGATTATGAAGATGAAAGCTCCCACTTTTTATCTTTGCATATTAAATATACTATACACTGATATCAAGGTGCTATAATGTAGATAAAAGGTATATATTACCCGTTACCACCCTAGCGGAACAAAATGTCATTCTACTGTAAGTTAACTTATTAATATGTACAATGTATATAGTGGTCTCTGATGGTAACTGTGGACCTGATTATGCATCATTAAAGTCAATGGAAATTTTGTAAGGCAATGGGGAAAGGAAGGTTTTTCAAAGAAACAGGTTTTTCATAGAAACAGATTATTCCATCACATTTTGCATTGTAACTGTTACTAACTGAAAAAACAACAACGACAAGGAAACCCATGGCACCTTAAATACCAACAATTTTATTATGGCATAAGCTTTTGTGAGTTGTAACTTACTTCATCAGATGCATGAAGTGAATGAAAAAGAAACAGATAATAGGGTTACAGGGATGAGAATATAACATCAAAACTAATTCAGTTAGGGTGTATGTGGAGAAGAAGGTGAGACTAGGAAACTGGAAAATTACTTATTGTAATTTGTGAGCCATTCCCAGTCCCTATTTATTCAGACTATTCTGATGGTGTCAAATTTGCATATGAATTACAGCTTAGCAGCTTCATGTTGCAGCCTCTTTTGTAATCAAGATTATAGCATTCCAAAATCAACATGCAGGCTCCCAGCCGGAATAGTCCAATGACTCCTGCTGTGAATGATAAAATATTTCCTTGCCTTTCAAAGAAGAGAGAGCTAGGAGACAAGAGTACAAGCCAATGAGATTATTGTATTTGACTGGAGTTGACATAAAATGCTGATATATATTTATTGGTGGCTAAGGGCATGCTCTGAATTGGTATGACCGTGTGTTCTTTTGGTTGCTTAAAAAGTACAATTTTGAGGATTTGCAAGATAATTTGTGGCCATTCTTTGAAAATCATGAATTTGCCATCAGTTTATAAAGTAACTTCCAAAAGTCCTGCAGAACTTTTCCCCAAGCTCACTGTGAAATCCCTTTTGAAATCACGTGGGACTTCCTTTTGAAGGTGCACATTTCACAAAGATCACTACTAAGTATTATTGCACTAATAGATCAACTGGGTTCATTATTATTTTGCCTCCTAAGAACATAGCATTTCAATAGGGAATTTTTGACAGTTCAAAGGAATAATTTGTTAGTTATACCTCTGCAAATTGTTCTTGTATGTTTATGAACTGAGCACATCAGGCTTACATCCTATCTTCTCATTCTTTGTAGTGTTTGCCGAAATGGAGTTCTCCATTGCACTCAAGTGAAGATAACAGGGGAAAGTAAGTGAAATGATTTAGAGAGAAACAGCTCAATTCCTCATTTGAATTCTCCACTTATTCATTTTTCCTTTCTGTAAAACAGCCACTTCCACTTTGCTTTTGGCAGAGGATTTACCTTGGGTTAGAAAGTATATTTTCTTTTATTTTTAAGAGGTGCACCTGCAGTTTCTCTCTCAGTATTTAATAACTTCCCATTTCTTTTCTGATCCCTTGAGCTACAAAGTTTACCCATCTAACACGGTATCTTTGTTTTACAGAGTGTCCGTCTCACAAGATTCACTTAGATTGCAGCAACGTCAACTCTAAGTCTTCTCCAGTCCTTCCGCAGCTAAGCTGCCATTCTCTGGATGCTGGCTATGTACGTTTTCATTTTCTGACTGTGACATGGCTCTTACTTCCCTTAATTCCCTAAAGGCATGTCTTCACTACAAAGTTATTTCTAAATAACTCCCGTTATTTTGAAATAACAAGGTGAGCATCCACACAGCAAGCCCACTATTTTGAAATTATTTTCAAGTAAAGGGCTTATTTTTTTGAAATAATAACCCCTGAATTTACAAGGAATAACAGGTATTTTGAAATTGCTATTTTGAAATAGCATTAGTGTGGACACTCAGCTGCTGTTATTTCCCCAAAATCATTCAAAGTAATTAATCCCCAGAGCTTCCTGGGGCTCTAAGTCAAGGTAGCAAGTCTACATTAGGGAAGCCTGCCTTGGACTAATTCTGAGGCTTCCCTGCAGTGTGGAAGCCTAACAAAACAAATAAGTAACTTATTTTGAAATAATGTTGTAATGTAGGCACAGCCTAAATGAAGTCGTGAAAACCTGACCAGCGTAGTCTTTTAGTTTTTTCTTTCTTTTCCTCTCATTTTTGTCTTTTATTTTCTTTCATCATTTTTGTTTTCATCATGTTCTTTTCCAGTTCTCTTTCACTATTTTTGTCATCCTTCCTCTTTTCACTGACTTACTTCCTCTTTTCTCAGTAGAGAAATCATGAATTAGATGAATAGGCATTTTGTTTACAATAAACTCCTGTAGTTTTCTGTGGCGAACAAAAGTAAGCTAGACCTAAGTTAATGTCTCCATAAAATATGAAGACAATTCTGAGGCACTCACATACTAGTGAGATGAGAAATAAATAAAAATGGCTGACTTATAAACCAGAGAAAGAAGCTCATGGGATGAATGTTTATAGAAGAAGGGAGATAACAACAATTCATGTTTTCTTATAAAACCATATAATTTTGTATCTTATCTTTCTTAGTTCTCAACAGAGTGCGTGTCAGGGTGTATTTGTCCTTATGGACTGATTGATGATGGCAGAGGGGGTTGTGTGAGAGAGAAGGACTGTCCATGTATTCATAACAAGGAGTTTTATTCTCCGGGACACACTGTATCAGTGGGCTGCAACAAATGGTAAGATGCTATGGCGTTCTCCTCTTTCCTTTTGGTGTCTCTTTCTTCTAGTAAATGAATGGTAATGAAATTGTTTAAATACCATCGTGATGAGCAGGACATGAGTATACAAGCATAATTCTCAGGTCCTCTCTGGCTTCTTTGTGATCTGGGCTAACTCCCTTTGTGTGAATGTAGGTAATATTACAAGCATTAAGGTAATTATCTCTGTTTATCTCAAGCGACACTGGCAAGTTTTTAGGGTGTTAACAGCCATGTTATACATTTATCAGTGGGACAATTCCATGAGGGGACTGTTGACAAGATGCTGATTTGTAATATGTTACAGAAATCTGCATATTATGCATGTGATGTATTTCATGTTGTATCAGAGGGCTATGTGGTTTATCCTGTAGCATTAAGACATGACTTCAGATTTCATCCAACTCTTTTATCCACTCCCTAGTACCTGCCATAAAGGAAGATGGAATTGTACCAGTGATGAGTGCTATGGGACTTGTACTATATATGGAAGTGGTCATTATCTCACCTTTGATGGAAAACACTATGACTTTGATGGGCACTGTGAATATGTGGCTGCCCAGGTAATTACAAGTTCTACAGAAATCTAGCTATCACCTTGGTTCTTGGACCACCCTTTTAGCCCCTTTTTCTTTAAGATCACTGTTCCTGTGGCATCTTCAGCATTTGCCAAATTAAATTCCATATTTGCAACAAATCCCAGATGTGCAAGGAAATTGAGGCAGCTGACGAAGTGGGTCTTTGCCCATGAAAGCATATGCTCCAACAAATCTGTTGGTCTATAAGGTGCCACGGGAAATTAATGGCACTTGAGTGAACATTTCTTCTTCCAATGTACTTGCAGAGTACAGGCCATCCTCACTATAGGTCCAAGATACATTCCAAAAAACTTGGACTTATAGTGAAACCACTTAAAGCAGGGATTTTTTTTTCCTGTAGTTGACTTCCACTTATGCCAATTTTTTTTTAACATGACTTAAGAGCGGGGAATGGAAGAACTTTTATTGCATCAGTTCTTACAAGCATCAATTACTTTAGTGTGGAACGGACATGTACTGGGACAATTTATAGCAGGGACACCCTGTATATACACCTTGATAATGAAAGCTGTCAGATCATCAACACTACTTTAAAACAAGTGGCTAATTCTGAAATTGGAAAACAAATATCCTTTGAGACACAAGCTATTGTTTAATTCAGTTGTCTCATTTCTTTTCCAGAAGTGGGCAAACATTAAATGGTGTGTGTGTGTGTGTGTGTGTGTGTGTGTGTGTGTGTGTGTGGTAGAATTTGAAGACTAAATTTAAATAATTTTTGATTGAAAGCAAAATACAAAATATAGTTCCTTTCATTCACTTAAGTTTCTTTGTTCCATTCTCAACAGGATTATTGTGGTGATAACCTCAGTGGTACATTTAGTATCATCACAGTGAATGTTCCATGTGGAACCACTGGAGTCACCTGCTCAAAGGCTATTAAAGTATTTCTCATGGTAAGTGGTGGTTCTGGATGGGATCAGCCCTAGAATGTAGTTAATCAATCCCTCCCTTTGCTTTTAGCCATGTTCCTTGAAACTCAATGCTGGCATAGCTCCATTACAGTGATTTCTACTTCTTAAGGGCTTAGGCAATGGTTTGGCAGCGTTAGCCTTGTAATGAAGTCCATCAGCAGCACCATTCCAATAGCTTGCCTCACTCTAAAGCCAGTGCTGTTATATCCCTTCTCTTTCTGTCCTTTAGGGAATTGAACTGAAGTTGGAGGACAAGCACTATGTAGAAATTCGTCAAAATGTTAGCAGAGATGTATTTTATTGGACTCGGACTGTGGGGCTTTATCTGGTTATTGAAACCAGCAATGGTATGATGATCATCTGGGATAAGAAGACTACTATTTTCATAAAGCTGACCCCTAATTACAAGGTGAGCAACTTCAGGCTTCCTCCCCCCCTAAAATATTATGGAATTTGTTGATGGGATTATGAATAGTTGAGTACACATAAATTTACAGATGATGCTTCATTATTACTCTTCATAGTTTCCCTATATCTTGTTTACACTGATGATTCATCAATGTCTCTCATTATTCATGAAGGCGGTGCCATTGTATGTTGCTTCTTATTGTATAATCCAGTGCAACAATACAGTGGATATATTATGAACTGTTGCAATGTGAAAGAGCTGTCCACTGTGGTTTTCCAGTACTTGTAAATCTTAGTGCTCTAATACAAAGCCCACTGAAGTTCATTAAAATATTTTTGTTGTCTTCTATGGGTTGTAGGATCAGGCTAAAAAATAAAGAACTCTTGGACCCCCAACATCATTTTCTCTTCCGTTATAGAGCGAAACTTTGCTCTATATTGTTAAGTAAATTAAAAACGGAAAAGGGGCCCTATTTTCCAGACATTTTGTAACTATATTGTGTGCTAAGCTTGATCCCTCAAGCAGTGGTAGGGGCTAACTTGTGTTTGGAGGCATTTAACTTTTAAATCACTATTTATTCATCGGATATTATAGTATAGTGAAGTGTTTCTCAACCAGTGGTATGAGTACTCTCAGGGGTACTCGAGAAGTCTGAGCGGGTACGTCAACACAACTGAAATTTGGAGAAAAATGAATTTTTGTTTTAAATTTTACAGTGCTTTATTATTTTTAACTTTTTACACCCCAAAATTTCATTGCTTGCCTGGGTACAAGTATTTTGTTTAGAAAACATTTTTGTGTGTCTGAAAACTATAGATACTGGGGTACTTATAATTTTTTTTAAAAAAGTGTACTTTATAAAAAAGAAAGGTTGAGAAACACTGGTATAGTGTATGTGTGAGTATTTTATATATGTATGACCCTTGAAACCAAAAAAATGGTTAACAGACTGTAATTCCACAATAGAAGACAGAACAAAAATTCCCAAGATTTGCCATAGGCTAACCCAGCCCTCCCGGAATAATTCAACATATTTTACCTTGGGGGAAATGGAGTTGTGGGTCAAGTAGTGCAAAGTGTGGCACCATCTCACAGCCTCTCTGGATCTGTCTGGAAGGAAACTAAAAGTTCTTTCTTGACAAAATGCCTCCAGCCCCTCCATCTTCCCTTATAAAATATTTAATTTGTTTAGCAAGTGACTCAAGCAGCCTTTAAACTTTGCTGACAACCTTGAAGTAGCTTGAGTAGGGTTAAAAATTAACGGAGGCACAAACATGAGGTAAAAGATTCCTAGTTTTTAATGCAGCTATATCCTTGACTAGAAGGATGCCAGCTCCCTCCAGCCCCCAAAACCCTGAAGTCACTGTATTGTGTTTTAAATTGTATTCAATAATGCTTTATTTCTTCCTTATTCCATCTCATTCTTTGCATCTGATGGAACCTGCCTTAAAGATGATCAGTCAATTCTTCTAAGTTAACATCTAGCAGAAAAATAAACTTAGGGCTAAAATGTTAGTGCATTGTGTGCTGGAGAATTCAATCATGTTACTCCTATTAATGTTAATGGGAATCATGTGGCTACATTGCTGCATACCACAATGCCCTGTGAAGGGATGTGGAGAGATGTGTAGCCACTGTTTGGTTTATTATAGGTTGAATGGAAGGCTGCAAAGAAATATAGGTATAGTTACTAGGTACTGTATATAGTAGAAGACACAGATTCCTGATTGGGCTACTTGGTAGCTTAATAATGAGGAAGAGAAATACAGAGAATTACACTTATACACATTATTTTGAAGTAAGGCTGAAAATAAGCAAGCTAGAGGGAGAAATCATTCCCTCACTTTGTATATTTGTTTTGGTTCTAATTGTACTGCTGCTCACTTATTGGGCAAACTGAAAATTTGATTACATGTTCTGAAAGCAAACATCTTTTATTTTTCTCAGGGCAAAATCTGTGGTTTGTGTGGCAACTTTGATGACAAGTCCAACAATGACTTCACAACCCGGGGTAGGCTACATGTGTCCAGTCCTCTGGAGTTTGGGAATTCCTGGAGATCAGCCAGTAACTGCCCTGATGTGGAGAATGAGATTATGCCCTGCGAACTGAAACCCCACCGCAAGTCCTGGGCGGAGAAGGAATGCAGCATAATTCGGAGTCAAGTCTTTAAAGTTTGTCACAACAAGGTTAGGAGAGACTGGCAAGCTCATTCTTTCTCTCTGTAAGTGGTGCAGTGCACCACACCCTGAATTGTAAGGGTTACACAGGAATTTGCTTAAATCTGAAGTATAGTATACTAATAGCTAATACTTTTATCCTGGAAATGGTTTTATTAAGCCTCCCTTGTCTTATTTTGTTTCTCCATCAGCAACTTCCAAGTTCAGATACTTCTGTTTACCCATCAAACCACATTTTTCTAATCACAAGCTTTGTAAATTCAATTAAGTATTTCTTTCTACTTCTGTGCATCAGATTTGTTGATAAAGATTCTGGATTCAGAACTTTGTTGACGATGCAGATGGCAGAGTAGAATATAATTTTGCTTGAACATTACTATTGTGGTCCTGTGTTGGGAATAATATTTTTGTCATTAAGCTAAAATGATGCACAATGTAAGATATGGACAATGCACAGTACCACCCGTTTGAAGGAATTAAGATAAAGTACTGAAAGCTTAGCTTACTCCAGATCTGTTTCCCAATAGACGGAAAGCAACTTCTGGTCTAAAAGATTGCTATTGGAGGTTCCAAATTGTAAGCAGAGCTCTGGTGTTAGCAACTGCCTTGTATGTTTCCCCAACAGGTGAACCCAATTCCATTCTATGACAATTGTGTTCACGATGCCTGTTCCTGTGACACCGGGGGAGACTGCGAGTGCTTCTGTTCTGCAGTTGCTGCTTATGCCCAAGCGTGCATAAAGATTGGAGCTTGTGTCCACTGGAGAACCCCTGATATATGCCGTGAGTAACCTTTCAGGATTCCCCACTGAATAGAACTGGGCCTATCAGAACAACATCAGAAAGTCTTCAGTCAGTGCAACAGTGTGTTAATTCAGGGCTCTATGCTGTGGCATGCACTGGAAAGGGATAACCATCTCAGTATGCACAGATGCTCATTCTTGTAATAATGAGTTCAGAGTATTTAAATGGTCTTTATGGGCTGACCCTTAAATATAATAAATGATCATTCTCACTAGTGGCTACGTCTACATTGGCATCCCTTTACGGAAAAGGGATGCTAATGAGACGGGTCGCAATTGCAAATCCGCGGGGGATTTAAATATCCCCCGCGGCATTTGCATTTACATGGCTGCCGCTTTTTTCCGGCTCGGGGATAAGCTGGAGAAAAGCGCCAGTCTAGACGTGATTCTCTGGAAAATAAGCCCTTTTCCGGAGGATTTCTTATTCCTACTTTCAAGTACTTTCAAGTAGGAATAAGAAATCCTCCCGATCCTCCGGAATAAAGCCCTATTCCGGAGGATCTCTTATTCCTACTTTGATCTAGGAATAAGAAATCCTCCGGAAAAGGGCTTATTTTCCAGAGAATCGCGTCTAGACTGGTGCTTTTCTCCAGCTTATCCCCGAGCTGGAAAAAAGCGGCAGCCATGTAAATGCAAATGCCGCGGAGGATATTTAAATCCCCTGCGGATTTGCAATTGCGACCCGTCTCATTAGCATCCCTTTCCGGAAAGGGATGCCAATGTAGACGTAGCCACTGTGTATGCCAACTGGTGGACTGACATTCCCAGCATAGTTATCTAGTTAGCAAAATTTCCCAGACAGAGTTGTTTCTAGTGGTCCCCCCCCACCCCATTTTGTGTGTAGTACCACAGCCTGTGATTAGTTGGCTAGGCCACATTGTGTTTAAATCACACTTATAAAACCCACTGACTTCTTTTTAGGGTGTTGAATGTGCCTTTTTTCATGCAATTATTGACACCAAAGGTCAGGCAGGAATGGTGATCATTAGACAATGTGTACGAATGAATGATAGGAAACACTTCTACTAAGCTTTTCACCATGGAGACTTGTTCTTATACACAGTACATCCCTTCCTATCTCAGAAATCTTGGACATTTTATTCCATAGCCATGTCTTAAAATAGTCCAGCAATGACCTCTTCCAAAATCAGATTGCAATAGGTTTACCATTTTTTCTGTCAGGCAATTCACACTGATTTGTAGGTCATATGTTTTGAGAAATTTGGTTTTGAATGTGTTATGTTTTGCCCTATTCACATTGTACTGTGCACCTAAAAACAAAGTGGAAGTTTGAAGAGTTTGTGAATTATTTCTGGGTCAAACTGATTTAATCTTATATGCATCATTATGCCTAAGAATTTGCAGATGTCTAAAGAAGGCAAAAAAAAAAATAATCTGTAACACTTCAACAGATAGCTTGAATTGTACGTTGATTTTGAATACTTGTGTGACTTCAGTCTAACATTTGTTTTCTGCAGCAATGGTGTTAAAAATCAAGGTGCTGAAATCCAGAGTTTCATGTGTTCTGTATTCAGCGTGAGTAGGGAAAAAAAATCCAGGTCCCATGCGTCAAAGGAAATATAGCTGCCAGCGAACTGTGTGGGGATCATAGTTAGAGGCGGGATTAGGATTATCTTCTGTCAGATGTTTTTTTGATCATCTTCTGTTTTCTATCAGCAATATATTGTGATTACTACAACCATTATGATGAATGTACATGGCACTATGAACCTTGTGGCCATAATATATCTACTTGCAGACTCCTTAGCAATGCCAGCACCAACTTCCCACTGACATATCTGGAAGGTAAGAAACTCCTTGTTATTTTTGTACTGACTGCCATAAAGACTGAAATAAAATATTATTTGATGGAGACGGGGGTATTAGCTAATGAGATCTATTAATTGCATGGCCATTCCTAACTCTATATTTGTACACAAGTATTTGGTGTGGTGTAACTTAGAGTACATCTATACAGCGGGACTAAAGTCGAATTAAGATATGCAACCTGAACTATGTCAATTGCATAGCTTAAATTGAAATAACTTAACTCAGCTTTTGGAGATGTCTACATAGCAGGAAGTCGAAGGAAGAACACTCTTCCTCTGACTTCCCTTACTCCTCATGAAATATGGGTTACTAAGAGTTGGAGTAAGAAGTCCTCCAGCTTGCCATTATTTTGAAATAGTGGTTTGTAGTGTAGACGTGCTCTTTGTTATTTCAGAATAACATCAGTTATTCCAAAATAATACTGCTGTGTAGACATAGCCTTACAGCTTAGTGACATTAATGAGATGATTAAGCATGTGCCTGAGTGTTTTCCTGAATTGTGGTAATAGATTGATCCACCATCTGCATTTACTTTTATTTTTGGTATGTTGGCTACACACTGCTGTAACTGAGATATGCTGCAGCATGTCTGCATCCTTGCAAAAAGAAACAATGGATACCTCAGACATTGTAGAATTAGTAAATATTGCCTTCTTAATGGATGGATCAGTGGAAAATATCCAGGATTTTACTCCCCATTTCTGGAAGTGCTCATCATCCAAGGCCTGGTCTAGAGTTAAAAGAAAACTTTTCATACCTTTAATAAGCCTTAGATTAGCTCCACCCCCTGCCCCCCATGAAAATGTTATCACTATGATAAAGTTAACAGTTTTTATTTGTTAATGTTACAAAATACACCATTTGTGGTCAACAGGTTGCTACCCCAGATGCCCTAAAGAGAAATCCATTTATGATGAAGACCGTGGAATATGTGTAGAAATATGTCCCTGTTATGTAAATGATATTCGTTATGAACATGGTGAAAAAGTACCCTCAAAGCAGCCTTGTGAGGAATGGTATGTGGGAATTCAAAATGGATGGAGAAATGTGTATTTAGACCAATGCATAATTGATCAGACTGGAACTTTAGCACATGATTAAAGGCTGTTGTGAACATGTCTCATGAACCCACTGGGTGTGGTTCACTGTCCCATGTAGTGGGACTTAGACCACTTATAGACAGAATGAATGAATTTCCTCTACAGCCTTAGCTGAGAGCTAGTTTGTTTTTAGCTCAAGCTATAGAGGCTCATGCACTAAGCCTCAAAGGTCCCTGGTTTGGTTCTGCCTGTTGCTCTCATAAGGAAACCATGCTCTCATGTTTTCCTGAATGAAGGCTGTGATCTTAAAGATTGCCTCCAGGTACCTCAATATGAATTGGCCTTGCTCCATATAAATTAGTGGTGGAATGCTGATTTACCCCAGATGAAGATCAAACCTTACAAAAATGGTAGATGAGAGGAATACCATGATCAGAAAGAGCAGTTGAATTTTAAAGGGACACAATCCATTTCAGCTCTTTCTTCTGTGTATTTTTTAACCTACAGTTGTTAAAAGCAATTCAAAGCTTGCTATAACTGGATTGATTTTGCATTTGTACTTTAAAAAGAGGCTAGGAAGGTGGCTCATGTCACTTGTTGTTTTTTGTTAGCCAGGAGGATACACACTATATTCATTTATTTAAGCAATTATATAACTTACCACCCAAGTATTTATTCAGATTGTTACTGTTTAAATTTTTGTTACATCATTTGTTCTATTTCTTATTTTCACGATTGACTTTTTTTAGTTGTGATTTGTGTCCAGCTATATTTGGATGGAAATTGGAATTCAATTAAAAAGCACAAAAGCATCATTTTAAATTTTTTTTGAATAATTAAAATGTCATATCTAGGATTTACAGAAGCTCTTACACTGTTCTAAGCTGTGCCAGATAGAACCAGATAGGGGATCTCTGGAGCATAATGATCTCTGGTCATATTCCCTCATATTCTCTGCTTTTCTCAGTATAACCCAGATCAGTAATTGGGTGAGATATAAAGTTGCTATGCAGTGGAGATGGAGCAAAATGATTTAAGGAAGCATTAGCTATCATTCATATTATACTGTATTTTCCCTGCTCCTGGTGGAAGGTAATTAATTATCTCTAGAAGGAATGTTTGGAGGATGGAAAGCTGGTTGTTGTGTTAAGAGAAAATAACAATTGTCAATACTGGAGCAAATAACAGCCAATATATATATATATATCCAGTCTCATGAGGTGAAGTTTGACTGAAAAAAATTGTTTGTTTGTTTGTTTGTGTTTGCACTCTTAGCCCCTGCAAATAGTATGCAATAAATTAACTGTTAAGTTTCATGAGAAATTACTGCAGTGGCTGCTATTGGTTTGTAAAAATGTTCATTTTGACTCATTTTTTTTCTTTTAGTATCTGTATCTCAGGAAGAAATGTGACATGCACTCTTAAATCAGGTAAATTTAATTTTATTCTTTCTGCACCCTGAAAAGGGGAAGAAAAGGACTATTTCCTCTCTTCCATCTGTCTCCAGAGGAGATTTAAGAATGATTTTGAATGATTCTTTGCAGCTCTAGTCAGGATTGCACCAAAGAAAAATTGGGTGTCACTTTGTAACCTCATAGACATTGCTCACGCACCTAAAGATACAGCAAAATGGTGAAATAGGCTGAGTTAAGATAAAGTGTAAAAACTTGTCTTTTCTTTCGGTGTTGTTAGTAGAATGGCCCTACCCCAATATCCTAAATATTAGCTTAAACCAATTGACCCTCTGGAACATGAAGTTTTCATAGCAGATTATTTATTATAGTACATAATTTAATGTGCTAGGAAATATTTAAGTTATCCTGCTCCCAAATGAAATTTCTATTCTTGTTAATTAGTGTATGTACCTCACCTACATAGTGCTTTATTAGAAATGACTTAGTTCCTGGCTCATTGTAAACATGAATGAGATGTTCATGGTTTCATTGTAAACATGAATGAAATTTTCATGGTTTAAGTACAGGTGGAGCTCTTGTAGGTGCACCTCTCATACACTCAAACACTGATATTACCATAGACACTTTCACCAATGTATTGGCATGTTGTTGTCCTTGATGAATTTTTAGAAAAAGAACTTCTTAATTAAAAAACAACAAATGGTCTGGTAGCACTTTATAGACTAACAAAATATGTAGATGGTATCGTGAGTTTTGACAAAGCAAGCCGCTTTGTTGACATAACAGTGTGGACGCAAAGGACAGTGTAGATGCAATAATGCCTTCTATCAACAGAACTCTGTCGACAAAAGGCATTATTCCTCGTAGAATGAGGTTTACATACGTTGACAAAACTGCTGAGTTTTGTCGACGTTATGTCGACATAACTCAAAAGCAGTGTGGACGCAGGTATAGTTTTGTCGACAAAAGTCCACTTTTGTCGACAAAGCCCTGTAGTCTAGACACACCCTAACAGACTAACTCAGCTACACCCTTAATCTTCATAATTAAACTATTTCTTCCAGGCTGCCCCTCAACCACCACTCCGCCTTCAACTACCACCCCACCCACTACTACAACTACAACTACAACTACAACTACAACTACAACTACAACTACAACTACAACTACAACTACAACTACAACTACAACTACAACTACAACTACAACTACAACTACAACTACAACTACCAGTGTGTCAACATCAACCACCCCAACAGGTAAGAATTTTACAATAACTAAAAGCTATAGACAGAACTGCCTTTGCAGCAGAGGTTCATTGAATATGTTCAACATTTTTTAGCCTTCTGTCACAAAATTCAATGACCCATGGCATTATTTTTGAATAAAATCACTCTTTTCTGAGACATTATGCACTTTGTTCAGATATACTTCCACCTCCTAATTTAAATTCACTTGACATTCAGTATACACTAAATGCCAATTGATTTTGAACATGTACTTTTGAGGTTTAACAGTAAAATAATAGATACATATATTTGGAACAAATCCTGGCCCTCATTTACACAGGATTAAAGGGTATGTTTAAATCTTGTTCCTATCCAAACTGATTCCATACCTGCCCTAAGAAGTCTCAGAAGGCTGAAACTGTAATTTAAAGAGTATATAGAGCATCTCTGTGACTTTTTTCAGCAGGTGATACCAAGCAATTCATGGACTAAAGAGTAAATGTAACTATACATTCAGCATCCTTGCCATGTGGCTATCTTTCCTGCTACGTCTCTTACACAGTTAAGACTTGGACATGCTGCTTCCCTGAATATACATACAATTATTACATTTGTATGTGTTTTGTAATACTGGTCAAGTTCCAATGTGAATGCACTTCCAATGGTTTTTCTTCTAAAGGAAAATGTTTTATAGAGAGATTTCATAGACATTTGTCTTGTAACTGTTTATAATTATTGTTGGCAGATTATTACCTCAGAAGATTATTTATGGGTATATCTACATTGCATTCTGTTTCGAAAGTGAAAGTGAGCTTCAGGCCGCGTTAATTCGAAACAACCCCTTGGTTAGAACTAACATTACTCCCGTAACATTACAAAAAATGAGGAGTACTGTTAGTTCAAACCAAGGGGGTTGTTTCAAACTAACGCGACCCGGAGCGCACTTTCACAAAAGCTGTGTTTCGAAACAGCATGCGGGCAAGAGAAAAGCTATAGACAGAACTGCCTTTGCAGCAGAGGTTCATTGAATATGTTCAACATTTTTTAGCCTTCTGTCACAAAATTCAATGACCCATGGCATTATTTTTGAATAAAATCACTCTTTTCTGAGACATTATGCACTTTGTTCAGATATACTTCCACCTCCTAATTTAAATTCACTTGACATTCAGTATACACTAAATGCCAATTGATTTTGAACATGTACTTTTGAGGTTTAACAGTAAAATAATAGATACATATATTTGGAACAAATCCTGGCCCTCATTTACACAGGATTAAAGGGTATGTTTAAATCTTGTTCCTATCCAAACTGATTCCATACCTGCCCTAAGAAGTCTCAGAAGGCTGAAACTGTAATTTAAAGAGTATATAGAGCATCTCTGTGACTTTTTTCAGCAGGTGATACCAAGCAATTCATGGACTAAAGAGTAAATGTAACTATACATTCAGCATCCTTGCCATGTGGCTATCTTTCCTGCTACGTCTCTTACACAGTTAAGACTTGGACATGCTGCTTCCCTGAATATACATACAATTATTACATTTGTATGTGTTTTGTAATACTGGTCAAGTTCCAATGTGAATGCACTTCCAATGGTTTTTCTTCTAAAGGAAAATGTTTTATAGAGAGATTTCATAGACATTTGTCTTGTAACTGTTTATAATTATTGTTGGCAGATTATTACCTCAGAAGATTATTTATGGGTATATCTACATTGCATTCTGTTTCGAAAGTGAAAGTGAGCTTCAGGCCGCGTTAATTCGAAACAACCCCTTGGTTAGAACTAACATTACTCCCGTAACATTACAAAAAATGAGGAGTACTGTTAGTTCAAACCAAGGGGGTTGTTTCAAACTAACGCGACCCGGAGCGCACTTTCACAAAAGCTGTGTTTCGAAACAGCATGCGGGCAAGAGTATGCAAATGAAGCATAGGATATTTAAATTGCTGCTTCATTTGCAACTCTGATATGCCTACTTTGCATTCCTCTCTCGAGGAGTCTTCTGAGGTAATAATCTGTCTAAATGAAAATGTAAATTTTTTCCTGCCTGGCTTTCTGTTTTTCTTCTTTTTTCCTTTCTTTCTTCCTTCCATAGACACAAACATGATTTTCCTTACTAAGAAACTTACTTGTTGCAGGTGAAGATGTTGTGGTGGAAACTGCAATGGAAAAATAATAAGCATCACTTTACAATCCTAAGAGCTCCAAGAACACTTTCTTGGTTCAGCATTATAAAGCCATTCAAAAAAATAATTATAAACAGTTACGAAAAGCCAAATGTCTATGCAAATGAAGCGCGGGATATTTAAATCCCCTCTTCATTTGCAACTCTAGTATGCCTACTTTGCATTCTTCTCTCAAGAGAAGACTGTAGTGTAGACATACCGTATATGTGTGAAGAAGAAGGTGTGATTAGTTACTAGCATTGCATTTGTTGTATAATAGTTTGGATATTTACATCTGCTCTTCTTCCCCGTTTGTATTATTTCCATCAATAGCAACTACAAATTCTATTATAAGACGTGTTGATTCCATACAAGCATGAATATATATTTGTTTGACTCTCTGAAACAGAAAGAAAGAAACAGCCTTTATTTCCAGTAGTTTTCTGGCACCTTAGAGTCAAACATAGATATATCTATAGATATAGATATCTGTAAACACATTCGCGTGTGCACACACACACGTGTGCACACACACACACACACACAGTATCATGAGCTTATGTTTATATGTATGTGTTTGTGTGTGTTTTTAAGGGATCACAGGAGACTACTCACTGTATTAGTTACAGACTAACATGGCTACCCCTGTGAGACCTAATTGATAGTATTTACAGTTGGAGTCTAAGGCTCAAGATTGCAATATTTCATTGTGTGTCATAGGTTCTTCTCTGTCCTAGTGACCAGTTATCTCAGGATACTGTCTCTTTGCCCAGTGAGCCCCTACAGGCATCCTTCTGGGAATGAAATACTGTTTATGGATACTTTGAGGTCTTTGTACTGTACAAGTTAATTCATGCCAGCAATAAAAGCACTTATAGGTCTTTATACTGTACAAGTTAATTCATTGCAGCAATAAAAGCACTTAGGTGCAAGTGTCTGGAAGGCTATCAGGAGGCTAACAGGAGGCTATCAGATAATGCAGGGAGTGTCTGCCCACTCTTGCTCCCTCTTCCATGTTATTCTCACATGTAACTACTGTTCATGCTACATTCTTTTCTGTGCATAAGAAACACCAATTTAGCACATTCAGAGCCTGATTCGGATCATACTCTGTTTTTCACCATTGATCTGAACTGAAGCATTTAACAATTTCAACTGGTGTAGATTAGCTCATAACCCTGCTCTCCTTCCAGATTGTTGTAGGTTACACTAATTATTTGTTTTGGACCAATATGCATCCAATGTGTCGCTCTTAGCACCACTTACAACACTATTATGTCATGCATGTTTCTGTTCTTTCTAAAATCGTTGTTTCATTGTTTTCCTGCAGAACCATGTGTGTGTTGGTGGTCTGGCTGGATTGATGTGAGTTACCCAGATTTTTTCCAAAACCCGGGTGATTATGAAACCTATGAAAACATAAGAAAATGGAATGACTCAGCGATATGTGAGGAGCCAGTTGGTATAGAATGCAGAGCTGAGAGATATCCTGACTTACCACTTCAAGATTTAGGACAGATAGTGAAATGTGATGTTTCCACTGGGCTTGTCTGTAACAATAAAGACCAAACGCCAGGACCCTTAATGCCAGTACCTAAGTGCCTCAATTATGAGATCCGCGTTAACTGCTGCAAAGACATATGTGAACCTACTACTACAACAACGACAATTTCCACCACCACCACAGAAACGACCACGTCAAAGACAACACCTACCACAACCTCCACCACGAAAGAAACAACTCCCCCATCAACAACAACACCTACCACCACCACTACCACAACCACTGAAACAACTACCCCATCGACAACAACACCTACCACCACCTCTACTACAACCACTACCCTATCGACAACAACACCTACCACCACCACCACAGGAGCAGCCACCCCATCCTCGGTGTCCCCATCCGGCTCCCTTATTTTGAACCTCTAACCCGCACTCCTTGATCCTTTATTCATTATTTGTCCCAAGGAATTAGTTGGACATGGGTCCAGTGTCCCTCCCATAAGGCTGGGGAGGGGCTTTTAGAAGGTGGGCGGCCTTCGCCCGCCCACCATCCCATGTTTTCAAATAGTCGCCCGCACTCCACTCGTGAGAAGGAGGAGAGGCAGCGGGGTGCAGGGGCTGCTTTCTTCCTTCTCCCCCCACCCCACTGGTTCCTGGTTCCTGCTCCCGCACCAGCCGGAGCCCTCCCCACCCAGCTGCCTACCCGCCCGCCCGTCTGCTGAGGCCTGCTCCCCGGACGTCACTGCACCCCACCACCACCACCACCACCACCCCTACCACCACCACCACCACCACCACCGAAACACCCACTCCATCAACAACAACACCTACCACCACCACCGAAACACCCACCCCATCGACAACAACATCTACCACCACCGAAACACCCACTCCATCAACAACAACCCCTACCACCACCACCACCACCACCACCGAAACACCCACTCCATCAACAACAACACCTACCACCACCACCACCACCACCACCGAAACACCCACTCCATCAACAACAACCCCTACCACCACCACCACCACCACCACCGAAACACCCACTCCATCAACAACAACACCTACCACCACCACCACCACCACCACCGAAACACCCACTCCATCAACAACAACCCCTACCACCACCACCACCACCACCACCGAAACACCCACTCCATCAACAACAACACCTACCACCACCACCACCACCACCACCGAAACACCCACTCCATCAACAACAACCCCTACCACCACCACCACCACCACCACCGAAACACCCACTCCATCAACAACAACACCTACCACCACCACCACCACCACCACCGAAACACCCACTCCATCAACAACAACCCCTACCACCACCACCACCACCACCACCGAAACACCCACTCCATCAACAACAACACCTACCACCACCACCGAAACACCCACCCCATCAACAACAACATCTACCACCACAGAAACAACTACATCATTGACAACAACACCTACCACCACCAGCACAGTAACAACTACTTCAGGTAAGTTGTTTAAAGAAAGATTGCATAGAAATTGCAAAGATATGGCTTGCCATGACTTTTTATACCTGTGCTTTTGCATGGGTTTATCATGCTGAACTAGGAAAACATTTAAACACTAGCAGTTGCTTTAAACTGCAAAGGGTGAACCTCAGGTATTGGTGTGATTGTTGTTCTCATAGTGATGAAAATGTTTCTTAATCCAATGATAATAGCTGGGAATATGAAAGACGTGTGATAGTTGACTGGTGCACTAATTGAAGGCAGATCTAGTGCCTTGAACACAAATCTTGAACTGAATATTGCTGCTATTTTTACTTCTGTTTTCATTTAATTGGAACTCTTATAGTGATACTTCTTATTTCTGCATCACAGTTATCACCATAAACTTTTCAAGTAACAAATGCTTCAGATGGGTAGCTGAGTTAGTTTATAACTGGAAGAACTTAAAAAAATGAATAGGTTTATAGTACCTTAGGCTGCCTCCAGACTGCATCCCTCTTTCAGAAGAGGGATGCAAATAAAGCACTTTGAAAGTGTAAATGAGCTCAGGATTTAAATATCCCGGGCTTCATTTACATACTCACATTCTGGTGCTGTGCTGATCACGTGCCATTTCGGAAATGAAAGTGAAGTCTAGCCGTGGTTCTGCCAACAGCGGGGAGCTTTTTTGACAGATCCTCTACTCCTCAAAAAATGATAATTACAGGATCTGCGGATAAAATTCCCCACTGTCCACAGAACTGTGGCTACGCAGCACTTTCACTTTTGAAAGGGCACTTGATTGACAAAGCACCGGAATGTGAGTATGCAAATGAAGCTTGGGATATTTAAATCCCAGGCTCATTTGCACTTTCGAAATGCTTTATTTGCATCCCTCTGCCGACAGAGGAATGCAGTCTGGAGGTAGCCTTAAAGACTAACAAAACATGTAGATCGTATCATGAACTTTCATGGGCACAACCCACTTCTTCAGATGACCGGAATATTAGAAGTCCAGAACCAAGAATAAATAAGGAAAGGGGTGTGGGGTGGGGGAAGAAGGGAAGAAGAAAGGGGGGCAGAGAAAAGAAAAGGAGAAAAGAGAAAAAAAGTAGTGAATTAGATTGTTCTTATCAGCCTCTTGTAACTTGAACAATCTAATTCACTACCTTTTTTCTCTTTTTTTTTTCCCTCTCCGCCTTCCCTTATTTATTCTCAAACTAGGTATGGAAATAAAGGGAAACAAGAAGATGTTTTATAAATACATTAGAAGCAAGAGGAAGACCAAGGACAGGGTAGGCCCACTGGTCAGTGAGGAGGGAGAAACAGTAACAGGAAACTTGGAATTGGCAAAGTTGCTTAATGACTTCTTTGTTTTGGTCTTCACCAAGAAGTCTGAAGGAATGCCTAACATAGTGAATGCTAGCAGGAAGGGAGTAGGTTTAGAAGATAAAATAAAAAAAGAACAAGTTAAAAATCACCTAGAAAAGATAGATGCTTGTGCGTCACCAGGGCCTGATGAAATGCATCATAGAATACTCAAGGAGCTGATAGAGGAGGTATCTGAGCCTCTAGCTATCATCTTTGGAAAATCATGGGAGACAGGAGAGATTCCAGAAGCCTGGAAAAGTGCAAATATAGTGCCCATTTGTAAAAAGGGAAATAAGAAAAACCCAGGAAACTACAGACCAGTTAGTTTAACTTCTGTGCCAGAGAAGATAGTGGAGCAAGTAATTAAGGAAATCATCTGTAAATACTTGGAAGGTGGCAAGGTGATAGGGAACAGCCAGCATGGATTTGTAAAGAATAAATCATGTCAAACCAATCTGATAGCTTTCTTTGATAGGATAATGAGTCTTGTGGATAAGGGAGAAG